ACTCTTAAATGTAGGAAGCAAATTTTTACATCAGATTTCCTAAGTCTCAACCCCTACACCGATGCTACTATAGTTGGATATAGCCCCGATTGGAGTCGGTTAAGGCGTGGCGCACAGGGGTCAAAATTCACATTACCCTATGAAGACGTCTTAACCGACTCCAAATGGGACCAACATTTTTATGTGTTATCTTCGACTTTAGTAGTATCGATTTTGGGTATGAGTTTGCAAAAAAATTAATTTTAATTTTTTGAATCTTTATCGAGGAATCTGAACTTTGGCCCCCTGTGCGACACGACGCCTTAACCGACTCCAATCGGGACCAAAATTTGTATGTGATATGTGTGACCGTGGTATTATGGATTGAGGGAGTGAGACTGAAAAATATCGTTCCTTTGTTTTTAAGGACCACCCTAATGTACACATGTAAAGGGTTTATATATGAACATACATATACATATGCATGCGCGCGTGTTTATTTTTCTTATATGTATGTATGTATGCATGTATGCGTGTAAGCTGGCTTGAGCATAAGATCGTGCTTAGCGTCCAAAGCTTTGTGGGGTAGGCACAAAAGCAATCGTTTTTTTTTCTTTTGTTTTACACCCATATACATACATACATATGTACATACATACCCAACAAACACCCAACAAATATTATTACTATTTCAATCCCAGTATTTCAATGATATGTTTGAGACCAATTGGAGAATCACATTGAAGTTCAATTTGAGAAACATCCCTATTTTCATACAAAGAAAAATTGTCTCTTTGTTAAGAAAGCTATGATCCACCACCTAAGGTACTGTTGTGAAACAAAGTTGGAGATTTGGGAAATACCTTAATTCTCAACTTAACATCAAGTTGAGCTCATACTTAAATGTTTGTTGGGTATGAATGAATGTATTTGCAAAGTGTTGCCAAGCGTTTACACAGTGAACTCTCCTCTGGTTGGTACATTAGGGTGGTGGCACATGGTTAGTTAGTCATTTTAATTATTCACACCGCGCTTTAAAAACAAATTTTTTTTTATAGAAATTTTACACAGAGAAAAAAATTTTAAAGTCCAAATTAGTATGGGACCATCCTTGAGCTACCATCTTTCCGATAAAAAAAAAGAATTATATTGTTATTAAAAGAATTTTCGCTTCGGGATTTTACGAGTTTTTTAACACTTAGAATTTTCAAGGAGAGGAGTGCAGTGCAAAGAATCTGAGCATGCGCTCCTCTCAAATGGCATGTAATCAATGTATTCTTACAGCTTAGAGCGTTTTCGTTGATCCTATAAAATTATATTGATCTCAAAATGAAAGAACTCATTTTCTTACGCGTAATTCCTATGGGAAAACTAAAGGATCGACGCGGGACCTCTTAGAATAGTCCTACATAGGGGAGATTCATGGAGGATCATGCTCAATAACAAAACAGTTGTCTACTCTAGCAACTATGTATCTTAAAAGCTCTTTACTGTCTCTCGAAAGTATAATTGAAAGATCTGCCAACGTTATGCTGTTCGCCTTTAAGCCATAAGTCTTTTTTTAATTAAAAAATTATATATGCTTATTTTTCTTTTTAAAACAATCAAAAATAATAAATAAAAGATATTTAAATAAAAAAATTAAAATAAATAAGTAAAATATTCTTAAAAATTAAATGAAATTAAAATAAAATTTATTCTTCTCAATTAATTAAAAAAGAAAAAAACTTACATTAAAAAGGAAAAAAATCCACTGATCGAGACTCGAACTCGGATCAGTGCTCTGCTCACTCGGCCATTGCGACTGTTGGAGTGACGCGAGCTAAATTATATATACATGAGTGCTCTGAGAGCTTTTTTCTAAGACTTTTGTGCTAGACAGAGTTTCTAGCCCTGTACTTTTGGTTTTCGTTGTTTTCTTGTAAGAAGCTGTTTTTCGTGGCAGAAATAACTCGGAGGTTTGCCACTGCTTGCCGAGGGGCGACCGCTATTAGAAAAGAACTTGTTGTTTTTAATTTTTTTTTTTTTTTTTGTATGTGGGGTTGAACCCAAGTCTGAAAGAATACAACATTGCGCACATCAGAGAGGACTTTTGAGAAAAATTTTGTTGTGACGTCACCTGTGTTGCCAGATTTTTTTCAGAGAAAAGATTTTGCAGATGGGCAAAAAAAAAACTAAAAATAACTGAATCAAAATTTTAGTTATGGCCAAGAAAAACAGTGTCAGCGTTTAAGATAAAAATGATGCATTCTCCGAAGGAACCAAATTTTTTGTACTTCAATAAATATTTTTCGCAGCTTCACAAAAGCTAGGCAGCTTAAGACAAAGTTTTGATTCCACCTCATTGTTCTGTAAACAGTGACGATTCGGTGTGATATTTAGCCCCATCCCGTGAAAACCAATAGTTACTTTAGTATCCTCCTAATAAACTTACCAAAGAGAAAGTACTCCCACTCTTTACCCCGTGAGTAAAATTCAAGGGAACCTTTTCTGGCCAACTTCTCAGCGACACGATTCCCTGCAATATCAATATGGCTAAAATTTGCGACATATTTTGACACAACTCTATCTCCTTTATCCATACCTTTAGCGATGATATTATTTGGCCAAAAACTAACAGATAGCCGATTTCGCAGCGCATGTGTACGACTAAAGACCTATCCTGATCAAAATCAATCGATAAACTGCTTTTTGGCGACAAATGCCACTCAATTTGACATAGTGAAAACCAGCCTTAACCGGGAAAATTCCCTTGCCAAAGTCGAGCTGTCTAACAGACACTCGACTGCTTCCCTAATGCTAGCTGTACCTGATGCCGGCGTCCTGCCAACGACACTTTCGTCAAGCTTATACAATTTTTTAATACTACCGATTTTTTATGGGTCTCCCTCCATTACATTTTTTGAAGTTTTTAGGGGTCTTATAAAAAATAGTTATAATAAGAAATAAACAATTACGTATTGTTATTCGAAATCTCCTGCAGAGAAAGAAAAGTTTTCCCATCGTAAAATATTGATTTTCAAGAATTCTATACTATTTCTACAAAAACTTGTTTTCCCCCTTCGCTTCGAGCGACATTTAAATATTTATATGATTTCAGAATCAAAAAAAAAAACAGTGGCATAATCGTTTTTCGCTATAGGACAATCCTAGGGGTGCTTCCACTTAAAATTTGGACTTTACTTTTTTTGATCACCCTTATGTACATACCAACATACATACATATGTATGGATGTGTAGTATTTAGTAGAAAAGTGGCCTCTAGGGATCAATTAATGTCAATTGCAATGAAACGATGTGTTGCTCGAGAAAATCAATCTTACCGCCAGCCACGCCAACGCAGTAACGTTGTGTAACAAAATAAAAAAATAAAAATTGTACGAACTTTTTACGTGACCTTTTGTAGAACATATCATAGGTTGTTGTAGTAATTTATGATATTCTCAACTCATTCATGAAAATCCATTTTCGCATGACTTCTCATAAATAAAATAAGTAAATAAAATACTAAACAATGTATATTATCAGTTAACTTTTCAGAAAGTTCCAATTCATTAAATTTAATACAAAAAGCAGATGAATTAATAACGTTGGTTAGAAAGAGGAAATTGAAAGCTCTGAGATAAGCAAATTTCATTTACCAGGGAACCATTTTCTTCTATATTTCTAAACTTAATTTAACTATTATTATTATTTTTAAATAGATAGAGATCAGAAACAATGTAATATCCCTTTTTTTCACTGGGTGGCGCTCAGGTCGATTTAACTAACTCAAAACCGCGCCACCTAAGGCGAAAATTTTGCTGCTCAGTACGACCTCTACTCGTTTTTCAAACCAAAAAATTACCTAATTCTTTTAAGAAACATAGGAGAAAGTAACCATATTTAAAAAAGTGTAGCTGAGAAATGAGAAAAAAACAGAATTTACCTCCTTATAAAAAATAAAACAAAATTTTAATAGATTTTAATGATGTTGACTAATTATAATCGGAATAAAATGCTTCTTTGAAAAAAAAAAATTAAAGAAACGCTTTCTTACATGTTTCTGAAAAACGGTTTTCGAAGGGAAAGGGTACAGAAAACTGTCTGTCCGTGTACACGATAACTCGAGCAAAAATTGAGATATCTAACGAAATTTTGTATATGGGTTGCCCTTTATCCAAGGTAGGTGGCTATTGAAAATGGGCGAAATGAGACGGTAACCATGCCCCTTCTCATATAACGGTATTTTCGAAAAATGCAAAAACAATGATATTTCAGTAAACATTGAATCCAAATTGTTGAAAATTAGTATGTTAAGTGGAATTTTGGTATAATATAATATTATTATGAAATTTTTGGAAAAGGGACGTAACCACGCCCACTTAGGATGAAATACTGTATCTTAGTAGCCGCTTCACCAATCCTTACCAAACTCTGTAAGAGCCTTGCTTAGGAACCAGCTAAGAAATTTGTTGAAAATCTTTGAAATCCGGCAATAGCCACGCCCACCTCCCATATAACGGAAATTTAGAGAAACTCGAAAACTGTGATAAATCAGTAACTACCGAAACTAATTGACTCAAAATTGCACCGGCTTACCGCATAATGGTAATTTTCGAAAATACGTCAACTCCGATATTTCAATCATTGAGAACGTTCATTCACTCCAATTTAATACTTGCAACCATGATACAAATATTAAAAAAAATAATAAAAAAAAAATAAATAAATAAATAAAAAATAAAAAAAATTAAAAAAAAATTAAAATTAAAATTAACAAGTGCTGATTGCTATTTATCGTAGCACCTGAAGTAAATGGTTTGAGATTTCGTTTTACGGAAAAATAAAATCAGAATTCATATATATGTACATATGTATGCCGGTGCTATTGTTTTAATTCCCCAAACTTTTTGCTGAATGCATAAACCCGACTGTCGCAGAAACGTTATAGACCATCTGAATTAGATTTCGTTATGAAATCAAACACTTCGACTATTTTTCAATACAAATATTTTGAACCATATTTAATTATTTGGTACCGTTCTGAAATGATGTACATGATGTTTTGCAATTATATAAGGAATAGATCCGGGACGTACATCGTTTGAGCCTAAAGCGAGCGCATATGCTTTTATTAGAGAATCTTCTTTCTCAACAGGCTCCAAATAGGATCGAATGCCATTGATGAGCTGTAATTAAACCAATTCGAGTATTTAAAAAACTTTATTTAAGCCAACTATTTACCAGAGATTCATCACAATTTAAATAACATAAAGCCGGGGCGTAGTCCGACCACATGCGCCTTCGCCATTTGCTGTCGTATTTTTGAGCCAACGGCACTAAAACCAAAGACCCGAACAATTCATCGCCATAGCTTGTTGCTTGGAAGTGATCAACGAACAAAGAATACAAACTTTCGAATTTGCATTTTCCTTGAAAGGAATTAATAATGTTAGTTATCGAGCTTTAGTGCGGATATAAACACTTACCTATAGAAGCTTTGTCAAAATCAAATGAATAATCTTTGTGTTTTTTGTACAATCGGAGCAAATGCTTTCGCAGCAAAGGACGTATCTCGTCTGTCAGAAATTCGCATTCAGGACCCATAAACGCAATCATAGCGTACATCAACTCCTCGGTTGGTGTTACAATTTGCAAATTAGAACTCGAGTCCTCCAACTCAGTAACAAGTGTGAGAGTCATTTCCAAGATTTCGCGTTCTAAAGGCATAAATTAGCTGGTATGAACAAAAAAGTGCTAATACAAAGAAGACATTTTGCGAATTACCTGAGAAATCAACTGTTATGTTTTGGGGCGAATTGTCAATGTAGTTTTGCAAAATTATTTTAAAGAAGAAATAGGGCCAATCGCGGCATAAAATCGCACTGGTTTGTGATGTTTTAGACAAGCTTAAGTTTGAAGGCTCCTAGAGGAGTATAGAATTGTTATATATAATGCGAATGCCTCTTTCAAGACGCAATACTAACCACAACGATGTAGTGGGACTGCACTAAACTGATGAAAATTTCTTTCCATTTGCTTAAAGCTGATTCTGGTACATTTATGTATTTCGTATTGAATATTATTGTATCGAAAAGCTGCTCAATTTCTGATATGTGCTCTGCGCCAAGACAGCATATATAACTATATACTAACTGCAGTATTTGGGCGGAGCTGAAATGCGACAGCAATTCGCTGCTACCCAACAGTTTATAAACGAACTTCAACTCAATTTTGGAGAAGAAATTACCACTGAGGTAATGATTCAAACTGGTAGATAATAAGTTAATGTATCGTACAAGTGTCTCGACTACTTGCGGCGTCAGCAAAGCATTTACCAGCAGTTTGTGTTGTTCGTGACAATTGATTTGACTCATTTGAAGCTCTAAGAGACTCCATAATGTAGACAATAAATATATAGTGAACGTTTGCGGAATTATCAGTTGTGGTCCATTTTTGTGTAGCAATACCGCGCCAACATTAGGTAATGGCGCATGTACAAATCGACGGTCGGCTGATTGGCGTAGAATCACTGAGGAGGTTCTGTTGGAATTTATTATATATTAGAAATTAGAAATTTTGATTAGGAAACCCAATTTTACATATGTATGAACATACATACATACATACATATAGACATAGGTACGTACATGATCTGCGACACACATTTTCTAAATGAATCGGAAAGTAGAAAATCACGCAAATATTTTGCAAAGAATTCCTGAAAGTGGCTTGCTTCGTCTCGCCTCAGTTCCCATATTACTACATTCAAACAAGCACTTAGAAGTGTGGATTGCGAAAACTGTAAAATATATACAGTTATATGCCATAAAAAAAAAAAAAATTACAAACATTGAAGAAATAGTAAACATTGTAATCATTTACCTCTGTAACATCACTTCGTGTAGCACGATAAAACCAGGCGCAACAGCATTTATTAAGTGTTTCGCTTAAAATAAGGTTTGATTTCGCACTGCAAGGTTCGCTGCTAATTGCCATTAATAAAGCAGACGCGTGTTGCCGAATCAAATAAGGGCTGCCTACTTCGAACTTTAAGTAATTGCAGTGCCATTGAAGCAAATAATGAAAGGCGGAGTCCAAATTGCTACTCGTGTAAAAAAGAAAATCTCGTTAGATAACAGTTGTATGACTTTTTCATATATATATAAGAAAACCTTTGCACTATAAACACATTTATTTATTGTCCACTAGTTGCGACGAAATGAACACCAAACAGTTCGTATTTTTATTAATAGTTTACCAGTGCTGTTTTTTGGCAATAGTCAAACCTGTGAGTGATCTTTTTTCGATACCATAATAATTCAAAATAAATTTTTAAGCAAAAAAAAACACCTGGCTTCCATTCTCATACCGTTAGTTTCCGGATTGAAACCAAATTAGTGATACCAACTTTTCGATAAAAAATTCGAAAATGGTTCGCGTGGTCCCAAGTTATCCGGTAACATATGGATATTAAAAAAAAAAAAGTCCCACGAATTGATAACCTCCATATTTTTTTAAAGTCGGTAAAAAAAAGCTCAATCAGGAGGACAAAATTTCCAAAATTCATCAGTAATGTGTATTTTTTTTATTTTATAATTAGCTGGAGGTACCTAAACATATGAAGTCGGGCGCAAAGAAATTGACAAATACATGCATGAAGGAGACAGGGGCCACAGAAGGTTTGTAGAAAACTACTCGAGTGCCAAATTATATACAGACTTATTGGCTTTGCTTTCATTGCAGAAATGTTTACAGAAGCTAAAAGAACGGAGCAATTGCCTGGTGACAATCGATTGAAGTGCTTCATGCACTGCATGCTGGATAAAATCGGCTTGGTAAGTTATTGCTGTTGTTGTTGACTAAAACGGCTAGTCTATCAATCGTCGGGAAAGGAGTGTTAGCTGAGTGAACCCCGATTCATGCCTTTACGAAGAATTTATGGAAAGTGCAAATTTACTAAAATAAAAGCAATACATTTGCAGATCGATAATGAAAATATTATTCATTTGGACAACCTTCTGGATATAATGCCCCCTGAGTTCTTTCCGATGATAGAACAGCTACATACAACATGTGGAACCAAAAGTAAGTACATTATTCTCATCCTATAAAAAAAAAAAAAGTATTTATTTCATGTCTTAAATAAGGTGGTGCCGATGGCTGTGAAACTGCGTTTCTAACCGTGGACTGTTATATTAAAACAAATCCAGTGATATTAACACTGTTGTAACCGTTTCCGATTAATATAGCAAGTAGTATGAAAATATGTATAAAGTTGCTTTCCGCCCACGTGATGCTTTCAAATTTAGCAGAAAATTTAATAAATAAATAAATTTCATCCAAATATTTCGTATTGAATAAAAGGTAGCTACATTTTTGGCTACGCCTACGAAAACCTGCCTGGCGTGCTTTGTTGATATCGTTGAGTGTGTTGGGGGTCTACTGACTGTTAGTTCTGAGGTCTGCGCAGGTTTTATGGTGACTCCATCTATTGCATTATCTGGCATACGCAGCAGGTATAGGTTTCTGGTCCGCGGTTTGACTCGATTTCAGCCCTGAGCATAATGATGCGGAGCAGATTTTGCCCCATTGACGAACAACATTTAAGGGCCAGTTTTTTAGGACCAATTTCCACTTGAGACATTTGGTTGGCTAATCTCGCCAGCTCGAGCGTTTAAACTAAGTTTAAACCACAGCCGCACACTGAAAAACTGGCCCTAAGAGATTTCGCCGATGTAAACAGGGTGAGATCCCATCGACATTCAGCTTTGCTTATTTAAGGCTGCATAGATCAGCTGGGCCCTTCACAAGGCTCTTAATAAGCGATTTTCATTTCCGCTTAATTTTGCAACTATGCTACCCATGAACGCTTCTTTCCTCTTTTCTAGCCTTGTAGGAAAACCAGTTGTTGGATTATCTATTCCAAATTTTGGTGAGACGGTATGGGCGACGGAAAGCCCACACGGACATATCATTTGAGTGATCAGAAAGTATTAAAAAATGCTAGCAGAGATGATCTCAAGCGAACGAATCGCAATTCCAGAACGGCTGATATAAGCAGGATTATTAAATATAAATCCAAACATTAAAAAACTTACCTGTAAAGAGAATCGTCTAGGCGCAACAGAAGTAGACAGCGCACAATTCGTAGACATTCTATTTGCACTTTTACCATTATATCCTTAAATAGAATAAAAGAAGAACATTATTTCAATAAACGCAATACATATGCACAAGGACGGCTGAGTGGAAGATCAAACAATCTCTTCAGGCAGTTCAAAAACGCCAAATCTCAGAAAAAATTTCAAGAACGCCGTATTTCAAAACTTGATTGAAAAACTCCCTATCTCATAAGACTTTTCAAGAACTCCCTACTTAAAATTCTTCAACCAAATTCTTAAATAGGGCGTTCTTAAAAAGTTTGCTGAGAAAGGGCTTTTTGGAACTGCCTGCCGAGATAGGTCGATCTTCCATTCAGCCCACAATTTATGATTCGAGGAAATAAACCTTGATATCTCCGCGATAAGACAGGTAGCATTTCAATACTTCCGAAAGCTTCATATTCATAAGTCTAACAGCAATTCCAAGATTTTGTGCAATCAAAACTCTGAAAAGTTTAAGGCATAAGAATTGAGGACAATCATAAAATTGCGGCGCATCCATATTAGCTTCTATAAGATAAAAGTATTATTTAGATATCACCATTTGTTTTTTAAAAGAAACAAGTATTCACCGAATCGTCGAAAGTCAGGTAAGAAATTTTGAAATAGACAATGCATTAAATCCTGGTTAGAAACAATTTTTCCGGCGATCTCTGTATTCGTTCGCGCTAATCGTATGAGAATTTTTAGACATGAGGAAACTGTGCTGTTTTCGGGCTTAACGGCATGCAAAATAAAGCTGAATGGATTTAGTTAGATTAAATGGGATGTATGTATGCACATATAAGGCTGCTGCGGTAAACTCATACTCACTAGATTCGTTGCAAAATGTTTGTTCGCATTAGACATTCGATTAAATTTGTTTCTGCCAACTGAAAATCGCTCATAGAAGTTTTATCTTCGCTTTCGTTTTCTTCGAAGTCGCTTCGAAATAATGATCGTTTGCCATTATCGTTCATCTGTAATTGCTGCATTTGTTTTTGCAAGCTTTCTAGAGCTGCAATTTCGTTAATAGCCGTTCCTGTATCCACAGAATCCAGTATTGGCTGCCAATGCGAGGTTGGGTTGTCGAAGATGAAATCTAGCAATGTCTATTGATCCAAACACAAACAAAACATATGTATGTATATGAATGCATTTACATAGGTGATTGCAGAGAAAATTCATACTCGAAATTTAAAGTACCTCATCAGCCTCGTTATAGAACAGACACGACAGTGCCTTAGAAACGACCTCGAGCATGGCCGGCGTATTGTCATCAAATCCGAAACGCAATAAGAAAAATATTTTTGATATGGGCAACTCTAAGACGTTGTCATAAAATCCCTGATTATAAATACTAAGGATGCCTCCAATCGATCTGAATGCTGATATGCGTTGTTGTATTACATTTGATCTAGTTTTTTTTTATTTATTATATAAGGTTTTAACAATAAAGCTAGTTTTAGAATTAACATACCGAGCTAAGCGAAACAATTCTTGCAGCGTATACCCTGGTCGATGAGGTTCTTCCCCGTGCAGATATAATTCTCTATCATCATTTTGAAAAGCTTTAGCGTCAGTAGTCGTATTTCCTGATGGGCTTGCAGCATTCATTTTATCCACCGAGTATGGCAATAATACTCCCTTCCAATCGAAACGTGCTTCAAATTGGTCTCCTGGCTGCACATTCGGCAGCCATTCTTCTATATCCTGCATCCATTTTAGTTTATCCGTCTCAACTACGTCAAAGTGCACCCATTTTTCTGTCTCACTTTGCTTTAGTATTTCGATTGCAGCGTTCGTCGTTGGTAATAATGAACTTACATCCATGCTTTCTTGGTCCTCGTTTTTTACAAAGTCATTACTGACAGCATTGGTACCTTCTCTTTTAAAATTCGATTTTTCATCAGATTTGTCTTGGCGTCTTTTCTTTAATAAGGCCAAAAGTGAGGGATCTAAAGGACAAAATATGTGTACATTTAAGGGTTTTCATAAGCTTGGAGTTAAATACCTATAGAGTTTAGTAGTCTTTCTCTCTCGGCTAGTATGTCATTCTCATTCATCTTGCTGAGAATATCTAAATTTTCTTTATGCACTTCGACAGCTATATCCGAATTACTGACTATAATACTTTTGTCTCCATAAATTTTGGACAAATCTTCAGAAGCAATCGGCTGGCTAGTTTTATTGAACTGCTGTATTGTAGAAAGCCCACTCGATGCAAAAATGCTTTTGCCACTTTGTAAAGATTTCTATAATTTGAGAGTCGTTTTAGTATTGAAATATGTGTTGGTGATTATAAGCTTTGGGTATGACATACATCTAAAGGAGCCCTGTCTACTATGGGAAAAGCGGATGTTTTTGCATTATTCAAAGCATGATCCTGCATTGGGGTATCAAATTTCCTTTCTACTATTTCACCGAGTACAATTTCAGTAAAATTTTCCAAGGGTTTAGCGTCCAGATTTCCAACAATTTTCTCGTGTATTTCTCCCATGATTTGTTGCTCCACCGACGAAATAGGCGTAGTGTTTTTAACCGCTTGCGCCGAACTTCCTTCTGCTTTTTCACGAGATCTTAAAAACAACGATTTCTTGGCATCTATGTAAATTCAGAAATAATTGTATTAAACTTGGATATAAATACAGAATGCAAGAATGATAGAATTTTCTCCATTGTGTACAGAATGCATATAACTAACTCCGATTTACATGCACCTGTACATACTACGTACCTTTCGCGACTTTGACACACTCTGCCGCCGGCTGCAATTTGGGATTCTTCGCACGTTGTGATAAGAATTCATTCTGCATTCGCAAAATATCCTCCTCAGTTTCTCCTCTTTGTGGTCTTTTTATCATATTTCTGATATATTTTATCAAAACTATTTATTTCCACGCGAAATAACCATTTAACAAGAGTGCACTTCAAATGCGCAAATAAACAAAAACATCTGTTTGTACTGTGCTGCCAAGTCATAATTTTTAAAATTAAACCCAAAAGCACAACGAACGCTTCAACGGTAATCGATTTCTTACTGACGGACGCTATTGATACATACGCGAAGTATATGTAGCAGAGCTTCCCAAACATTTTCCCCGTAGATCCCTTTCAAAATCTTACGGGTTTCGGTGTACCTCCTGCTGCTACATTTTTAATATATTCCCAAAGCTCATAAAAAAATGTTAAGACTAGATCTAACGATATAATTTGCAGCGCGGGTGAGTTCCAAAACTAAATTCGGTGTGACAAGTTTTGAAAATCATAGCTCGTAAAGCGATCAAAGTACTCTTTCGCTCTGAGGAGTTATATTTTTTAAGAAAACTCCGAGCGCTAGCGTTTACATTCTGTTTACCACAATCTCTTCACATGTTCGGCTCACTTATGAATTTGCTTGTGGCGTATTCGTAAAATAGTTTATTTGTGCTGATGTCATCATTTTTTATTTTTACCGCTCCGAGTTTTAAAGTGATACGAATACCTGGTTTGAGCCAGTTCTGGCCAAATGGTTAGATGTTTCATTGTCACACCCGAGTGACCTGGTACCCAAAGTAAAGCAAGCTCGTTATGTTTACCAACATAAAATAATAACATAGGTCGAGACTTGCATGGCCGAACTAGTTTGGAAGTACTTAGATAGAGGGCTGGCCACTGCCTTAAGTGCAGCCTGGCTGTCACTTCAGATTTGTGAACTCCTTCCCCTCTAAGGATTGCAAATACCTCAGCCTGGAAGACCGGGGCATATACCTCAAAACCAGAGTCAGTTTTGGAGCCATCAGTGAAGATTCGACAATGTGTGAATGTGACAATGTGTGGGCTCAGTGCTGAAATTAAACCAGCATTCAGCCTCGGGGATCTCTTCAACAAAGGTAATGGTGGCGTACCATCCTACAGCATTGAAAAGACAAAAGTGCTCAAATCTCTGCCGTCAGCAATTTTCACCTCGCCCCACTCAGTGTTAAAGAATATCCATTTATTTTTAGTCTGAAGGTGACCTTTAAGGTTTCCCACGTATGAAGACATAAAGTGACGGAAGGTGCAGCAGTTCGTCAAGAGCACTGCACACCACTCAACAAAATTAAAGTTAAGTAAAGCGGATATAAAGCAACCATTTTGGTTCTTTACCCCATATTTTTCTTCACACCTACGTAGATCCGCGTCGAGCCTCCCGTGGACCTCTGGGGGTCCACCTGGACCACTTTGGGAATCACTGATATACAGTTAGGGGATTTACAGAGGTGTCGTAAGCAGGGCTGCCATCTACAATTAGCTATGAAGTGCCATATTGAGGATAAAAAAGTGCCAAAATGTGCCAAATAGAAAAATAAAAGTGCCAAAAAGGTTCCATTCTTTTTAATTCTTTCCATTTCAAACTAAAATAAGAAACGCAATCCTAAAGCAAAAGTCCAATGCCAAACTAAAATAAACCAAATGTATACACTACAGAAATTATAAAATTTTAGTTGAGAAAAAGAAGTACACGGATATTCCTGGTGACCAAAAGCTACGCAAGTAAAGGCGGATCTATAGCAAGCTGCACGCGTGGCCATATCAGGAGTTATGAGCATCTGTCCAACGGATGCCCTTGAAGAGATAATAACTATGAAGGTCTAAGAAAATTTTTAATCTATATTTGTATAGATTTATACAATATATTATATGTATTATTTATGTATTTTTAATCTATATTTTTTACAGCGCAGTGCGTGACTGTCCCCAATTCTTACTGCAGGGGATGTACAGAACTTTTGCATCGCCATGTGGTGTGTTTGGCGACCAAAGGGCGTTATGCTTGCACATCTTTGTATTTTTTTTTTAACTTTATCTTCCAAGAATTAAAGAAAAAAAGTATACAACCAAATTCTTTCCCATCCATGCATCGTTAAAAAAAAACTATTAAAATCGGTTCAGTATTTTTCGAGCTCACTCGTGACAAACATTGACCATACAATAATAGCCTCGTTGGTGTAGACTTAACTTAACTTACGTAAGAAGTCGTCAATGATTAGTCAACATATCAACATAGCCCGAAGCGAAAATAATTTGTTTTTGTATTTTCCTTTTCAGCTGATGGTCACTTGGCCGCCTATAAGCCACATTAAAATTCCTGAACTAAAATATATTGTTTTGTCCAATGTATTAGGTTACGTTACGTTAATTAAGCCCAACTGAATCTTAAATTTTATAGACGTAGTATAGATGAATTGTGGTGATAGAATTTTGAGTTGTCCTTTTGGAACAAATATGCATTTATTTCGCTTAATATGAAGGTGCATTTTTAACTTATATAATTTTATCAAATCTAAAATTGTTTGAATCATTTCATGTTAATGCTGTTGTGTTTTATTTGAATGTGGTGCCGCGATCAGCAAAGCATCTAATCAGTGAATGCTGTGCAATGATTGTGTCTTTGTGTGGCAAAACCGCGATTTCAAAAAACGCTTCAATCCCTTCTGTAAACTGATCAATGGCCTCCTGCACCTTTTGATTGTGCATAGATTCAGCAGCTCTGCGGTATAGCTCTTCTATTTGAATCATTTTCGCCACACTCGCTTTTAGAGAAACATTTTTCCGACAGCGTGAGCACCGCACCTCTTTGGCTATATCTTTTGGAAATTTCAAAACATTAACGCAATTTGCGGACGGGCACCGAAATCTGACTTGCTTTTCAATCTTTTGTATTGTTGGCCAATTTTCTTGGCAGGCCTTACATTTGCATTCGAATAGGTATCGTGCCCGCAGTGATCGTTGGCGTTCCTTCAAATTTGTTTTCGTGAAAATGGGACCATAATTCTCAGCTATGATTTCATTGGGCTGATGAGGCTTAATGGTTGTCAAAACCAATTTCTTCCCAACAAAATAGCGAGCCACACTAGGCCAACACTCGTGATTGAAGTAAGCCCCGCTAGCGTAAATCGCCGCACCCACATACACAATTTTGGATCCCTCGAAGCGATGTTGGTCGGTAACTTTTTTCTCGAAAACTTCATGAGCATTATATTGCAAAACTTGTAAAAGGCCCAGCAGAGCTGTGCCGACCTTCAATTCAACCGCAGTTGGATTCACGCCTTCGCTCTTACGTCGACCAAAGTATTGAGCTTTTTGTAGACAACGAAGTAAAAATCCTGCCATCAGAGATCGTTGCAAGTAGTCTTCAGCTTCGCGGCTTTCAATATGGGAACAGAGATTCTCATACATTGATGTGGCATCATGAAGGGCATTTTCCAGGCTGGGGGCTTGTGTGAAAACGCGTAATGCCAAGTAACAGAGTATCGACATGCCAGAACCTGAAAAAATCATCAGTCGTTATACCCGAGGTGTGATTGACAAATCAGTGCGGCTCTCTCTTAAGGTACTATAATGTCAAAAAATATAAATACATTTTTTTTTTCAGTTTGACATTATAGGGGGATTCTATGAGAGCAATAATAAATTCAATCACACTTTGTTAAATATGTACCCATGGTGAAATTTCAAAAAGGTGAAGTAATAACAGAGCTTTCTCGCTTTAGTTTCTTAATTTTATTGACATTCGGCTTTCTTATAGACATTTTTAAAGCAAATTTTCAAATAAAATAATAGGTTTGTTCGTCGAAAATCCAGCAAGAATTATCCAACACTCAAAATATCAGAGAGTAAGAAAAAATTCTCTCAAATTCTCTCTCATGTTGAGAAACTTGCAAATTTCTGCACGAACGCAAATTTGCAGGAATTTGCAAGTTTCGCTGCCAGCTGGCGTCCACGGTTGCATTTCAAACATAAAAAATTTTTATAGAATTTTTAAAATTCTTTCGGATGGCCAAAAACAGGATATACATGTATATTTCTTGTTGTTCTGACTTTCTTTAACATACATTTCAATTTCTTCATCGTACTAGCTGTCGGGTTTCTTAAATCGACTCTGGTTGCAATTGCATTCCGATTGCGAATACCATTTTTTTCAGCCGAATTAAGTTCAAATCATTGGAATTAACTAAATTAATTATATCAACAATTATTTACTTCCTTTTTCCATAAAAAAATCGCTCGTGTTTATAAATTTTTAAATTTAACGAACTAATTTATTCAAATTATTGTAGACAAAAATGCAACCATGCGCCACAACCACATGTTTTTCGTGTTTGCAAATTCTTGCTGGCAAAATTTTTTCCAGCAAGAATTTGCAACTTCTCTCCAAGAGAACTGTCACTTTGCTCTCACAATTTTTGAGTGTTGGATAATTTTTTGGTCTGCACGAACGCGATTTGGGCAAAAATCGTGTTAATTCGTACAAATTCGTACAAATTTTTTGCTCGACGAACAAACCTAATGTCAAATCGTTCTTCTCGCTCGAATTACTGCACCGGTAATTATGTCACCATGGGTTATACCTACATATCGCTCATTTACTTCAATAGGGCCATAACTCAAAAATCCTCAAAACTCAAGCAAAACTGGTTCAAAGTTTTGAATTTACGTATCGGACACCTAGATCTAAAGTGAGCTAACTCGTACAGATTGAAACAATTAATACAAAAACAGGTTGAACAGTAGTTTTTTAGTTAGTGTATATAATCATGAAGAAAAAAATATTTTCCTTAATTGGATGTAAGTCAAATAAATTGATTTATGCATAAAAATGGCCTAAAATTTTTTTTAGTTGATCGCTTCCGTGTCTGAACTCAGTCTAATAGTTAAAATTCCATTTGTTAGTGCTGCTAGATTTTGATCGAGAACTGGATGTACTCATATCCCAAATATAAACTAAACTGCGTCGATTAAAGTACAAAACCGCGTATCAACAAAATGCAAAACCACGTATCAACAAAATGCAAAACCGTGTATGTGAATTATGTAAATTATCTTCTAGAGAGTAAAACTACTCATATTTCAAAATGGTTATCTTTTTTATAAAGCAATCGCATACCTAGCCAGTATATTTCAGGACGAATGGATAAGGATTGGGCCAAGAGCTTGTGTGAGCAAATCCAATTTTTGGCAGCTAATGCCAGTTACGCGGTTTTGCAGAATCACGATACGCGGTTTTGTACTTTAAACGACGATATACAAAAAAAGGTGTACATACAATGTCAATTAGCTACAATTACCTATGAAAAGGTCCATAAACTGACACTCGAAACGATGGTAACTGTCACATGCCTCTCCCATACACTGTGGAGAACAAAAAGCAATGCCGGAGCAGTTGAGACATGGCACCGGAGTGGTTAATCTGAAAGATGCATGCAAAGATGAAGAAAAAATTCTGATAAGGAAAATTAAATTTAGATACAAACATAAAGATTGAAATAAGGGTAAAGAACTAGAACATATGTAATCATTTTATGTGGTATTTACAATGAACTTATCTGTAATGGAACATACAAGTTTCGTAATACATACTCTAAAATACACATAACCTGGTAGAAAATATAATAGAAACGCGACACTCGACCAAGTTTGGCTAAATTTGCTAAATGGATAAAAAGTTGTATAAAACTTCTGAATAAAATATTTAAATTTTCGCTAAAAAATTCGCTGAATTTTCCTGAGATTATTTGTAATGTAAGTTTTATTAGAAATGTTAAAATATAGCTATTAAAAAATTTATAATAATTTACCTAATTTACTTTTATTTTTTTTTAACCGACTTCGAAAAAAGGAGGAGGTTATCAATTCATCGGAATATTTTTTTTTATGTTTTGTAAGTATGTTACCGCATAACTTTGGACCACATTAACCGATTTCGATATTTTTTTTTTATCGGCGATGGTTCCATCCTAATTTGGTTTAGATCAGATTATTCGATCATGAAGAAATTAACGGTAATCTTAAAGTTTTGCATAAGAATTGAAGTCGATTTTCTTAATTGCTGAAAAATTACTTGTTTATTTAAACAATAGCCTTCGAGGGTCTTCTGCAAATCGATAAATTGTTTTAGGAATGATTTCATTTTTGCTTTTTTATACAAAACTTCTGAGAACGCTGAGCATACATAAACCTAAATGACAAGTACAAACGAAGTAAAAAATATTAAAAGATAATAATTATTTTACATTTTTTTGAATTGGAAATTGAGTAAGAAATGCAACTTTGGAGTTTAGGGGGGCTTGTGCCCATGTACATACATATGCACCGCACGTATGCATACAATCATACATACCTCTGAAAACAATGGTGGCAATGACTGCCGGCGAACGTTGGCGATAAACAAGCGGCAACTGGGTTTTCACACAACACAACGTCACCCGTTTTTAAATTGTCTCCAGCGACAACAAAGCGACCTCTCTCTTTAGTCTCCACTACTTTCACCAAACTCGATGCGCCGCGCAATGCGTGGTTTTCTCCGTTCGTGAGTGTAGGCACTACCGGCTGATCGCTAGTTTCGCTCCGTCTTATAAGCGCCAGTTCGGTGTCAAAGGAGTCTCGCAAGGAAATATTATTACCCGAAAGTTTCTCAGCAACCTTGAGTGATATATCAGATCGCGCTGATTCGCCCATTACTATCAAATTTCGTACCAAAAAAAAAAATTACGTTAATTTTTAAAATATACTATTCATAGACATGATTGAAGTAAACCACACTTACAAGCATACGCCTTCGCCATTTTAATATAGTAATCCACATTGCCCTTCAATTCCAAACCATAAGAAGCGGCTAGTTTAAGGTCTCTTAGTGCCGCCTCGCCATAACCCAAATTTATTAAAATTCCAGCACGGCTACGATAGGCCATTGCTAAACTGAGGCCATTATCTATATCTCGCTCAACATCTATGATAAAAGAAAAAATACCAAATACCAACAATTAGATGTGTATGTACTTGCACTAACCTTTTGCTGGAGCACGCATAACGGCCAAATTGGCGTGCATTAAGGCCTGCTCGAAGTCCCCTAACAAATTGAACTTGTCTGCCTGTGCACGTCTTTGAACTGAGAAGAGACCATCTTTGAGTTTATAAACAGGTGCAACATTTTCCAGCACTCCAAGCACTGTATCGCAAATTTCCTGATCGCTGAAGATCGATAGGATGCGCGCCTCGTTTGACTTCAATTGGCTAAAGTAATGTTTCAGCCACTTTTCACTGCAGCCCCCTTTCACCTCCAGAAAGAATTCGTTGAAGAAACCCTTCTGATCCGACTGGACGGTGCGTGCACTGCAGATCTGCTGATATGATGAATCTGAGATATCCATAACTTCGAGAAGTTTTGTAGCACTTTTTGGGTTATTTTGATTTTGTGATACTTTTGTGTAATATTTTAACGTAAGTAGTATAATCAATTTATAAGGTTGCAGTTTTACACAGCTGCTTTCGGTTTTCTTACTCAACTTCTGACATGGAAAGGCATGTACTTGCCCATCTAATGTCTAAAAATAAATACTGTGTTTCTCGTTTTGAAAGTGAAAATTATTGTGAACGAAAATATCCGCTAATAAATTCACAGGTTTTTTCGAAGAAACAAATAACAGTACATAATGTACGCAAATTTTTATTTAAAGATAATTTATTTCTGGAGTAGCATACTCGTAAATGAACTGTGATTTCCATACCTATGTACCTATGTACATACATACACACATATGTAACTCACCTCAATAAAATGGCTTAATATTTAAAAATGTTGAACTATTTAGAAAATTTTTGAATTAAGAAAAATATCTTTTTTTCCACTCGCTGGTTTCAAATATCGTCGAGGTTGTAATTTCAAAAATGAAAAACTGAAAAAATTTCGAGGAATAACATTAATAAAATTAATGAAATAAATGTAAAAACCTTACAAAATTAATATCTAGATATCCGAATTATCTAATGGCTAATTTATTCACATCAAATCGGTTGTTATAGTCGTAAGTATACAAGCCAGTAACGAGCGAGTTGTATGAATGATCAAACGTCATCGCTTATAGACTGATAAAACATATATCAGTGTAGATATATGTAGATCTGGTATGGTGTTACTATTACTACTAGTGTTCGCACAGAGGTTGAAATTTAACCACTACAATTTATCTTTATCTTTATCTTTATTTTTATTTTTATTTTTATCTTTATCTTTATCTTTATCTATATCTTTATCCTTATCTTTATCTTTATCTTTATCTTTATCTTTATCTTTATCTTTATCTTTATCTTTATCTATATGTGTGAATGTTGTCGATAAAATCAAAATTACTTGTTTTTAAATGGAAATTGTCGGTTGTTGCTTTCTACACTTTAAGCGCAAACAAAACACGCGTAATATTTCTTAATTTTCAGTTTTATCTCAAAGTTGAAAACTTTGATTAAGATTTTTTTTTTAATTTGTTCAATTTTTGTGAATTTTGCCCCAAGTTTTAAACTTTGACTTATATGGCGTATCTTATTACATTAACGAGCAATTCTGGTAAATATATGTATATGTATATATCTCTGGTCGTAAGTAATAACCGCCTAAGTCGACTTAAGAAAGAATTGAGTTATATATGCTATCGTTTTCTGCAACTATTATTCCATGTCTACGTGAAACTCCCATCTCGTTACCTATTCTATTTAAAAAGTTATAAATGAAAGTATTTTGGTTTCCCCATAAGGTTAACATTACAACCCAAATCTTTAAAGCGCTTTTTCTCCAATTCCGGTGTTTAGACTTAGGCGATTATCTCTTATGACCACAGATATATCGATAGGGTTCTCGGAAACTGCTCTAACTATTTTGATGAAATTTTGTACACCGAAAATGTTTTGCATTTTAAAGTTACCTGAATGGGTATTTTCTCCGAGAAGACTCGTATAAGGTTGCCAACTATTCCAAATTAGCTACAAATTATTTAAAACATCATAATATGGTTACCAAATGGAAGGTATTTTAAAAATACCAAATTCAAAAATATGTTTAAAAGGGTTGCCACCTATTTAGAATCGCATATTTATTTAATTTTTTGTTTAGAAAAAAGGTAAAGTATTACTATTCATAGGTACCAAGAGAAGGTTCTTAAACAATGCTTTCCCTATATACAAAGTTTTATCCCTTAGGATAATAGTGTAAGGTTGCCACTTATTTTCGATTCTACACAATTTATCTTAAAACTCGCAATATGGATATCAAATTAAAGATATTGTTGACAACTTTGGTCCGAAAATATTTTCGATCAGGGTTGCCACGCTTCGATGCAATACAAATCAAAGAATCAAAAATTTTGTACGTAAACTATTACGATTCTGATGTTAAACGTCGAAATTTCATTATACATTTTACGCAATTTTTTTATTTTTATTTCGGAGTAAAAAATAGTACAGCAGTTTCGAAATTTGGTATAAAATTGTTATAACTTGGCTCTCAGAGGGCCTAGAGGGCTCAAATTAAAGGTCTTGAATTGCACTAAAGCGCACTTATTGTTCGAGAGATATAAAATTGTGTGCAGGACGCACAGCTGCATGAAAACAGAAAAAAATGGAATAAATACTGCATTTGTTAAATTAAAGTGTTCAAATTTTTTTTTTCGAATTTTCAACAGTGGAATCGTGTTCCTCGTCTCAAAACCTAAAATACTTGTTTAAAAAAAAATACATAAATTTTTTGTTTTGGAGTAAATCCGGTGGACTTTGCATGTTTTTTCCACGAACACTATTTTTGACCAATTTTATATTTATATTTGATATAATATATGTATAATATTTAATTTTTTTTTTTCGTGAAAGGGAATTATTAGCTTTCAAAACCATTTGCTTATGCCGAAAGCGCAGTGTTCAAAAAGTACATTGTGCGGCTTGTAAAAAGACAAGGTATGTATTTTAAAATGCTGTGCATTTAAGTTCCGACTTTACTTGTTTTGGACCACCCTAATAATTTTGAAAAACTGTCCTCTGAAACATAAATGTGTAAAAATGAAAATGTAGGAAAAGTTTGAAAGTTTTTGTATGAGACTTACCCAGTAGATAATTTCCGGAGCTAAAAGCCCTTCCGAAAGGCCTTGCTAAGAGTCAAGAGGTATTCCACTCTACAATCCTTTCTCCTTTCTTTTTTTGTCTGGAGTGGCACAAATTGAAGGGCTTCTTCTTTCGCTACCCATGGAAAGCCTTCCAGAAGGGCTTTTATAGGGCGAACTTCAGATGGCCTTTTGGAGGAGTTCTTTTAAAGTTGCTTCTTTAATTTATTAAAATCATACATCTTTGAAGTATTTGCTTAAGGTATAAATCAAATATGTGTTATTGCAACTTAAAATGTTTATTGAAATTCATTTGTGATACTACAGCAGAATTTCGGCATAAAAATCGTCTTGGTGGTCAAGATTAGAGATATTACTAGAGAGAGAAGATACGTCCTTCAAAAAAATATCCTAGTTTAAACTCATAGGACCCCTGTAAACTGAAAGGAATATAGTCAACCAGCTACTTACAAGTATTTTTGATTTCCCAAAAAACCTAATGAATTCTAAATAAATTTTGTTTTTAAAGAATTAAACTTTTTTATTTTATTTGAAAGTTGAGTCCTGCATAAATCACAAACAAATAAGTCAACCAGAGAGAGAGAAAGAGAGAGAAATGCATAAAAATTTGGTCTTTTTTTTTGAAGATAACTTCTCATTTAGAAATCGTACTTGCGTAGGGAGTATTAAGATATGATGTATGTATGTATGTATGAAATCAATTAATACAAATGCAGTGTGGCATAATCAAAAGGCTAGCATATAAAAATATGTTTTTAGACACATTCAATTGGTAATTGTTGTTATTGTTTATCTACATTCCACATTATTATTATTAATTAATTACATATTTAATTTTTACCGATTTCTGAAATCATCTATGATCATTTACCATAAAAATATTCTACAATAATCTCGTCATTTGTTTGCTATTATAACTATGTATTGTATGTATGTATGTCTGTATGTATGTATGCATGTTTGTTTGTTTTAGTTTTGATTGAAGTGATTTCTTAATCTTAGACATCTTTTTCAGTTCTTTATGTTAAGAAGTTAGACTTAATGCGATGTTTTTTTTTTAACTGCAGCCTCAAACGTATGCATTTTTTTATGTATATTTTATTCCATAGTAATGCTAAATAAGTTATTCATATCTGAACTATCTTAAAGACTTTAATATATATATATATACGTTGATAATAAACACATGTGGTAGTAGTATATATATCAGAGTAGAGCCATGTTAAGTCATTCTCGAAAATTTCACAGTCACGAATTTTTTTTTTAGAAAAGTGTATAAATGTAAAGTACTTATGTTTAATGTTTATGCTGACACAGAAATAATGATAGGACACAATTTTTTGTATAAGGCTACATAATTTTTAAGAGTGAATACGTGAAATAAGAAACAATTGTTTATAAAGGTTATTGTACAACCAATTATCAATGTATAATAAATTGTTGCTGTTTTTATATGAGAGTGTAAATATTTACCTACAAGAGTCTAAAGTTTCAGTCCGTTATCTACTGTTGTTCTGGAGAAATTAAATATAATTGTCAATAACATGAACAAACTTAGGACATTTTGCACAGTATTTTTACGTCAGCAAGGCCTGGTGGCCTGCCTGGTTATCAGGTTATATATTACGGGTATTCTCGAAGTCTTGCAAAGCCCTTGCACGGTGCACGGATTGCAATGGTAAAAACCGGTTATCCTATGGGACAGCTTTGCAAACCGTGCAAGGCTTGCAATACTTCGAGAATACCCCTATTATATCCACTTTAAGCAGGATAGAGCGAATACCTACAAATTTTTGAGAATCACTTGATAGGGCTTTACTCGTCATATATGTATTTGTATGTACATATATAGGGTTTTTGAAAATTTATGATTCATTTGAATTAGTTTATTTTCGCCAATAATTGAATTGCCTTACGAAGAAGAGCTGCATTTTCTTTTCGATATTTTTTATTTAAAAAGTTGTTTATATTAACATACATACTGCATACAAATATACCTAAACATTTTCACTTAAATGTGCCAATTGCAATTTAACTAAATAAATAAATTAAAATCTACGATGTACACACACATCCGTTCAACATTGTGTTCCATTAGCATGTTTTCGTTTTCGTAAAAAATAGTATAGAAATAAATATTTAGCATTACATATGTACATAATCTATGATCTGCTAATATACATACATATTATAATAAGTTTATATAAACTAAATTATATATTTAAGTCAACGACTCTCATCCTTCTTTTTGTTTATATTTTCCATCAGCTATTCATTTTTCAATTTGTTTATTATGTAATTAGCAATTAGTATCACGCGGAGCATCTTTGCTAAATTATCACTACAATATTACTAAATCGAAGAAAATGAATTACACACAATTGTAGCATTTAAATATAGGCAGAGTTACTGGGAGTAAAAGTACAACAGTACAATAAAGTGCTAGAGCAATTCACATGGGCTTCTGAGCCGACGGCATTTAATAAGACCACTAAAATGTTAACATATTGATCCTAAGGTAGAGCGATCACGTCATATTCACACCCAATGCACGGCTTGAGTACTCATACACCACATAGCTAATGGAAACTGCCGGAAGCACTTTGATAAAGTTTGGTGTAATGCCTCGATACAAACCAAATATGCCCTCATTATGTATGATTTTGCGAAAGACACCAAACATGTTGTCGTCGTTGATTGCAACCGCTTGTCTTAGTGGTATGCCCACTGATGGTTGCTTATTTTTGGTCACAACTGAAAAAGTCAAAAATTAAACTTAAAACTTTCAAGCGCTTAAGCGAAGAATTTTGCTGATAATTGTATACCTTGCGCTTGAAGTCGTGTCCGTACCAAAGCCAATGGATAGGAGCACACCTGTCCCAAGGTGCTAGATGCACTGCCGCAAGCCAAAAGAACGAGAAAGCTTGGCTGCTCCGTATTATGACTGCTCAAATACTTTTTCTTCAAGGTTTCATACACTGCCAGATCAATGCCGGCGTAAGGAATAATGCCCAACATATTCGGAATGTAACCACGATAAAAGCTTCGTACACCCTCCAGTAAATAGATCTTCTTCGCAGCATCCAAAATGCCGGTATACTGACCGGTCTTGCGCAATGCCAGCCGGGTTTTTAATACTTCCATTGGATAGATGATAGTTTGTGAAATACCACCCGCCGCTGCACCCGCCATGAAGCGTTCGCCAATCGTCATCTGTCGCTTCTCATCGCCCCTTATGAGCCGCTTAATCTTTTCATATGCCGCAAATTTGATTGCCGACTCGGGCGCTATTTTCAAAACGTTAATGCCATTGCCGCGCCACATACTACGGATGCCGCCCTCGTTCAGCATATATCTTAAACTATCAGAGATTCCGGTTTTATGTGTTTGAACCTGTTTGTGTCAATTTCAGGATATTTAAAAACTATTAGTTTACCAATATTCGAAAATACATATTTAAAGCAAAGAAAGTGGAAAAAGCAGCGGAAGAATAAAAACTCATGTGTATATTTACCTGCAAGAACACTTTTATCCTATCTAATGGAGCTGTGCATGTACGCGACACTGCACCCGCGACACCGCCTGCAGCCAGGTGACGCCACCACATGCCGGTCTGCATTTCACTTTGCGTGAAATCATCAGGTACATTTAAATCTTCGCCAATGTCAAGGTACTGAAAAAGCAAAAACAACAAAAAAAATTGTATTATGCAAATTACATACTACATGTATAGCATTTAAATGTATAAACAGTCAGCCTCAAAAATATGGATAGCCCCGACGTTTTGACGATTTTCTTTATTAATATTTTCCATACCAATTTTTTTTATAAAAATATTCATTCAACAGAAAAAATCATCATAATAAATTTTTTAAATTTCATATAGAACTCAGGAAAATTCAGGAAATACTAAAAGCATTTCATCAAAATTTTCCACTTTTTAATTCCTTTCTTAGAAAAATTTTGCTGTTTTGTAGCCCATTAGAATAATAAGGTGCAAGTTTCAAGTCTCTAAAAAATACCGTTGAATTTTGAGAATTTTCTTGTCAGGTGTTTCGCATTTTCTTCCATATAATGCATGAACAAAATCTATTTTTATATAAAAGAAAATGCGCAACACCCTCGACAAAAAAAAAATCTACAAAACTCTGCATTCCCAAAATTTTTTAGAAATGGAATTGAAAGGTTGAAAATTTTGATGAACGAGTTCTGTATGAAACTGAAAAAAAAAAAATGATTCTGCTGGTTTTTGCAGTTCAAACCATATTTTTATAAAAAAATAACAAAAAATTTGGTATGTATGGAAAATATAAATAAAAAAACGTCAGTGTATTCATATTTTTGTCTCTGAGTGTAGGTATGTATGCATCGATAGGCAAGTTTGAGACTTCTACTAAAATGAACGACCATGAATACATTTGCGCTTGAAAATTAAGAAAACTATAGGCACATTTTCCTACATACATATATCTATTCGTGCATACATACATATGTATATAGTAGTGTTTTTAGCAAAAATGTTATATTCTATATATCGCACTACCAGAACGCTGCAGAATAACATATGGGCATATCCCAAAAAGGGTAAACCAAGAGCGAAAAATACTTGTTTAAAAAAATAAAACCATTCGCCCCCGACAAATCGAATTTAAAATTTTATTTGTGTTTGAAATTTGTCGCGTCCGTAACCGTGAAAAAATGCAATTAAATAATACACAATAACTTCTCCCAGCAATGCACAAGCTGCAGTTTTAGATTAAGCTCAGAAGATGAAGCCGAGAAGGAGTGTCATATAGGTAAATGAAACAAACCAACGCCAAAGACTTTTCTGGGAGAAATTAATTTTAAATTATAAAAATGTTTGAATTGAATATTTATAATAAATTTTAAATAAAATTTGGTTGGTGCTAATGAGTTTTCATACAGGAATAGTACAAGAGTACAAATACATTTCAAGAATGCTTTCCAAGTAGAAAAGTCTCGATATCACGAGGTGCTAATTAATATAAACAAATTTACGCCTGTGCCAAGTTTTTATTGCATGCAGATATGTAAGTACAAACGTATAGGTACATACATGCACAGTCATGTGCAAAGGTATTTGTTTATTCGTTTAATTGACTAAAAATTTTTGACGCGTATTTATGTACATACATATGTATGTATGTATGTTAGATGTTTTTGTACCTAAATATGAATGTAAATGCTTGTATACATATGCATTACAAATTTAAACATACTAATGCATGTACAATTCCGTAAAAGGATTTAACGCACAAACTAATCAATCAACTTGTCTGAAAAATTTTAATAAATTTTGATATGAGCTTCCATTCACACATGTTTATGTGTGTTTATGCATGCACCAAAATTGCGTTTTAAATAGCTGAACGAAATATCTGGGCATTTGTTTTTGTGCGAGTTTCTTTTTCACGCCACACAGAGGAGTTCTCTATTGTTTTATTAGGCGCACTGTTTTTATTAATAAATCCAATTCAAATTGAAATTCACATTTGCGTAGTCAACAGTTGTTTTTAAAGCAATTGTTTGCGTTTCTGTAACTACATCTTATCTAAGCGAAATGACAAGGCACGATGCCGTACACCGTTCACTACTTATTTTACAGCTGTTTACGAAAATCCCCTACACAGGACGTACCTATGTGCATATCGAGCCCTAACCGCCAAAATAACGTAAGCGACATTTTTCTCGAATTTTTCTTTTTGATGCAGAAATATTCCTAGAGCATTTAGATACATTTCTGCATCAAGAAGAAAATTTTGAAAAAAATGTCGCTTACGTTATTTTGGCGGTTAAGGCTCGATATGTACTCAGGAAGGTGTAGCATACACGTAAAATGTGTACAGGGTCAGTCAGTGCAGACAAGTAAATTTGTGCAGATTTTTTGAAAATGATTGATTCCTTCATCGATTGTAAGCTTTCCATAGTTGTATTGACGTTTTGTTGAAGCACAATCAGTTAATTTGAAGTTGATCCCCTAATTTGTTTAATAGCTTTTAGAAATTATACATCGACACCTGAGTGGAATATCGACCTATCTCGGCAGCTAGTTCGAAAAATTTTTAAGAACGCATAGGGCGTTTGATTGAAAAACAACATATCTCAGAATTCGGTTCATAAACGCCCCATCTCAACTGAAAATACATTGAAAATGTGCTGAGCACATATAGTCATCATCAACGCAAAAGGCTTTATTTGATAAATTCAAAATTTCACTGGTGAAGCAGGAAATAGGAAATGCTTATAGAGCTGATCTTAGCTTCGGTTGGTGGAGAGCATCTGAGATCACACCAATATATTTCCAAACAAATTTAAAGTTGAGCCTTTTTCCATGATGTCAATAGGTACTTGTACATATCGATGGTCGTCTGCAATAACGACACAATTCAAAATTCGAAAAATAAAAACTGGTACTACTGTTAAGTGGCTCTTTGTCTCTAATCGTTGTCTAATTGATTTTCAACCCCCTTACTAAAGTAAGTAAGCAATAATGATTTCTAAAGTAAGTACTAAAGGTTAGACGTGGATTCAAGAAGAATTCGAGAGCCACTTAACAGTAGTAAGGATTTTTATTTTTTGAATTTTGTCGTTATTGCATAGGACCATCAATATATGTAGGTATGTATGTATGCACATCCCTTAGTGTAAAGTATTTTGATTATATATATTATTATTATTATATTATATAAAATTAAATATATTTAAATTTTTCCTCATATCATCGGCATTTACAGTCGGATCTTAAATTATGATATTTCGATGTTCTTTTCTCGACGAGAAAATTTCATTGACCTCAAGTACCCTGATCTACCACCCTAACGTATCATCCTGTTCTAATTCTTATTGTTTAATGCTGTAACCGCCTAAGCGATATGGACGAGTTCATTGAAGCCACGTACATATGTGTTCGTTCGAACGGCATGCTGAAGCCAGCGAAGCCGCTGTATTTTAAATCGCCGCTATCTCCATGTCATTGTAAAGTCCATACAGCTAGCTCATCGTTCCACATCTGACTGATTGTTTGATGACAGGAGATACTTCGTTTTGTGNCGATCTGGTACTTACCCACCAGATCTCAGTTCCTACCACCCTAACGTATCATCCTGTTCTAATTCTTATTGTTTAATGCTGTAACCGCCTAAGCGATATGGACGAGTTCATTGAAGCCACGTCTGTGTCGTCGTTCGAACGGCATGCTGAAGCCAGCGAAGCCGCTGTATTTTAAATCGCTGCACTATCTCCATGTCATTGTAAAGTCCATATAGCTAGCTCAGCGTTCCACATCTGACTGATTGTTTGATGACAGGAGATACTTCGTTTTGTGTTCATTCAACTTAGAAAATGCAGAACAGACTTCGCGGTCTTTGCTGCCAATAATAATTTTACATTGCATGCCCTAGCGGTCAAGCTCCCAGCGGAGGAGCAAGGGAGTTTTATTTTGAGCTTCTCTTGACCTTCTACCTCCTCTCTTATTATATTCCTTAGTTCATTTAGATAATAACGTATCAGTAAGCGAGGAATCAATACAATTTTTTAGAATAATTAAAAAAAGTGCTTTGATTACTCCTTCGTCGCTCTACTTTGGTACTAGTCCNTGCGGTCAAGCTCCCAGCGGAGGATCAAGGGAGTTTTTTCTGTTGAGCTTCTCTTGACCTCCTACCTCCTCTCTTATTATATTCCTTAGTTCATTTAGATAATAACGTATCAATAAGCGAGGAATCAGAATAGAATAATTAAAAAAAAGTGCTTTGATTACTCCTTCGTCGCTCTACTTTGGTACTAGTCCAAAAAAGTTTTAACTGAGTATATTCAGCACCCCAAGCAATCACTTGTTTATATTTAGTAGCTACATATGTGTATGTATGTATGTACAGGCATGTTCTGCAATTCATTTCCGGGTGAATTTCAACCAGAGTCACGTTGGATTAAAATTGATAGGGGGTTGAAATGCACTCGGAAGTGAATTGCAGAAGCTGCCTGATAGAGCCATTTTCACAGTCATTAGTGAACTGATGCATTTTGTTAACCGACCAACTTTTCATTTCAGTGTATCAATTTTGCTAATAGTTGACTGGTAGTTAATCAATGCATGTACATCCTTTAGTTAACCATTAGTTAAAAACAGTTATTTTTCTGTTAGTTAACAAATAACTGCAAAAAACGGCCTATAGAAATGCCATATGTAAGTACATATATATATATATATGTGTTTCTAGTTTTAATCTTTCAATTTAAAAGCTTTTGGTCGGCGATTAAAAAACACCGACTTGTTTCTATGCGCACGCAGTTGAAATACGTAAAGAAGCCAAACGTCAGCATTTGTGTAAACATCTAACAAAATATATGTATGTACATGCATACAGATCTACATATGTGTGTGTATATAATTATGTATTAACATTACACCGGGTCGGTCCCCATAAAAAGAAAAAAAAAACTTGTAATTCTGCTAAATGTTTGGCAGAGATTCTCCTTCTTCTCTGATTTGTGGTGTGTGTGTGTGTGTGTGTGGTGCGTCTGGTCTTGATGCTGTTAGACAAAGGGGGGATTCACACAGTTTTATGCCGCCTCCAAATGACAAATGAGGAGCCTTTTCAATGCAAAAATACACTCAGAGGTTTGCCACTGCCTATCGAGGGGCGACCGCTGTTAAGAAAAACTATTATTTCTGTAATTTTTTGCGATATGTATTCGACCAGCAGGAATCGAACCTTAGTCTTACGGAGTGGTATCTAGTACGCAACTCTAACCACTCAGCTACAGCTGTCACCGCAGTAGAATATATGTACATATGTAGAGTGATAAGAAATGTCACTGTGTAATGACAAAGAAAACGCGTGAATGCTTTACAGTTTTTTACACGCAGCCGCATGCACATACTAAAACATATCCAAATTAATTCAAAATCAATTAAGTACAACGATGTGTGTTTTAATGGGTGTACTTTGACAATACATAAAATTGAGAGTCGAAAAGTTATAAGAGAAGAGCATAAAAACTGACTCAAGAGAAAATCTTGCATTTGATGCTTATCGCCACTAAACCAAAACAATCCGGTTATTGAAGCGATTTGTATAGACAAATGTAAATATTTAACAATTATTGAAGCTTATATTAATAATACATAAGTTACATATGAATACATACATACGTCTAGACTGGAATGTCAAGGGGGTTTTTAAGCGAATGGCTTTCGAAATGTGTATTTCTTTTTGTATCTTTTCCGCGAAGCCGCTGACGTGAAAGATAAGAATGACTCATTTCCTCTGTTTCTGTTTCTGTTTTCAACATTTAAATGTTCTAATGTACGTACCCGTGTCATGACGTCACGAAAAATCACTACAAAATCTTCCAGCACATCACCTTGTATGGCCATTTGCTGGAGATTCTGGTAATCAGTTGGCCAGTTGTTGTTGTAGCTGCGCAGCATTTTATAACTTAATTAATAATGATGGGAAATCCGAAAAATCCCAAAACACGAAGTTGGCAACTTTTTAAAAGGTGCTTTTGCAAAAACCAATTCTATTTTCGATAACGCGAATTGACAGCACCGCAAAGTATTGGTCACTGCACTCGTGCTACCCTTCGATGATCGGATTCCGGAACACTAAATTTATTTCCTTTGGAAAATTACAAACTACTTCGAATTAGGATTTTCCCACGTAAAAAGCTTGAAAGATCCAATACACGGACTTCTATCGCTGCTGGTGCTCTTTTTCGAATAGGTAGCAATATTTGTCAAAAACTGTTTACATACATAAACAAACGTTTCGGAAAGGATTACAAATCAAAGTAATTCCGAGAAAGTGCAAACTAAATTACTTCGTTGTTTTTGCGTTATGTTATGTAATCACCGCAATTGCAAGCGAGCGCCGAAACGCGTCTTCTATATGAGCATGATGAACAGAGACTGAACTTGGTGTGCTAGGAAGAGATAAGCCCATCAAGCACAAAACATTATCATGTTTTTCCTCTCACCAATACACAGGCAGGCAGAGCCACTTGCTCGGTGCAAAGTACATTGAATTTTATTGTTGTTATTGGCATCTGACGATCAAAAAAGCTCATATAGAACAGCGTTTATATTTGCTGTATGGACACGCGTATACAAATACATATCGCACGCCGTCTTCAATAGAGTCACAACTCAAAATTTGGCATTTTTGAAATTATGCGCTAAAAATGTACACAACACCTTTTATTTACCTTTCAGCAAAAGCTGAAGCAAATTTTTGTTATAATTTGTTAAAAAAACCTTAGGTAAAGTCGTCCTTGCCCATATGATTAACTGTGCTACGAAATAGTTTTTCACATTTTTTGACGAACGTCAGTTATTTTGAGTTGTGACTCTTTTGAAGACGGTGTGCGATATGTATGTATGTATATTCAAATGTACACATGTATAGCTATACTTTATACTAGAGATGTTTCGAATGTCATATTTTCGGAATGTGCGGATGCGAATGTTAGGAATAATAGTAAAAAAAAAAACACTATAATCAACTTAAGTCATCGTTTTTATAACTTAAAAATTTTGTAAATTATTAGAACGTTTAATGAGGGCTTAACCTATACAGTGGTTTAATCTAGTAGTCAAAGTTCAAAGGGGGCATATTATATAAAAAAAAAGTATTTTTTCTGCCTTTTCTCCCATGAGGCGATTTCTTAGAGGCTCGTATATAAGGCCGGAACTCTGGCAGGTGCAGCGCTGAAAAATTTGCGTGCCAGATCTGTCAATTTGTCGTATTTTAGTTTATTGTTCCACCAATCGAGAGGTTTTTCACCGAGATGAGCGCGTTTTTGTTTAAGATAGGCTTTTATTTCGCATTTTAATGTCTTCAGATTCTAAAATTATATGTTGCTTGATATACTACTTAACCGTTAGACCCTGGTTAAACAGACTTAGAGCCATTTCAACAATATTAGAGTGGACACATTCGCATTCGCAAACATTCGTATCATTTGATGAGAATGCGAATGTCGAATGCGAATGTGTAAAATGATGCGTATCATTTGCATAACGGTTGCGAATGCAAATATTCGCAACATCCCTGCTTTATACATGTTTTTGCATATAAATATGTATATGTATGTATACTAACATATGAATATAGATATTTTCTAATCAGTCATGAGCTATCAAAATACCTGCATACAAGTCAGGAGAAAGACCAAAAGTAACTCGGACAAGCCCCCCTATTTATACTAAAAGCAGCGGCCTGCCCAAATTCTTGTCATTTGCATTTCAAAAGATTTCAATAAAGGTTGGTACTTTTCCGCTGTACAGAGGTGCAATAATTTATCATTTATTTCCCCGTATTGTAATGAATTTAAATAGATTTACAAAGCGACACTTTATCTTTATACTAGTTTTATTAAATCTAGATGATATTCGCCTAGTGCAATATGGGCGTGATGGGCGTGGATAAGAGAATGGATAGCATTATATTTTCAACCAAATCGACAGTTTGTATTTAATTGCATGCTGTTTCCGAGGTGAACGTGACGGGTCGTCCAAAATAATAATTTACACGCGCATGAGACTGTTATCATTTTTTTTTTTTTTTTTTGATTTTGCAGCCCCTAATTGGTGAATTGTTAGTAAACAAATGCTGAAGTGCCACGAAACACATACATATATAGTATTTACACAGCTAGGTACGTATGTACACGTATCGAGCCCTAACCCCAAAATAACGTAAGCGCCATTTTTTTTCAAAATTTTCTTTTCGATGCAGAAATACATCTGGATGCCCGAGGAATATTTCTGCATCAAAAATAAAATTTTGAAAAAATGTCGCTTACGTTATTTTGGCGGTTAGGGCTCGGTATATACATATGTATGTACATACATAATCTATACATATGCGTATCATAAAAAGGATACAATATTTCTGAAACGCTAGTTGTACCAATTATTTTCAAGCGAATTATTGATCTAATCCTGTTAAGAGAACAAAATAAATGACACAAAGCCGAAACCGAGGTTGTCCTAACTTGACAATAGATGACGGATATTTCTCCTAAAATTGAGCTATGCCAAATACTCTCCAGTGCCAAGCTCTTAAACTTAACGAAAAGAAACAGCCAGCCTTTATAAAACATTGTTTCATTTGCCAATGTTTTATCCATCACTGTGTTGTTCATATGCGCAATAAACTATTTTAATAAAAATATGTTCATTTATAAAAAATACTTACAGTAGAATGCCGCCAGAATTTTATCAATCGTGAATGTCCGTGGATGGTGCCATTATAGAAAATCGCGCCATTCATTAAAGCTAATATTTAAACTGCCATCTTGATCCATTCTGTATAATTAATTGCAAGATAAGAAACATTATAAATAAATTGCATATGATAATATAGAATTAATTCGAAATAACATGAAAAGAAGAAACAAAAATTAAAAATCATGCATAAACGTACTTGTCACCGATACATATATACATAAATACATACATACATATACATATTTACATTCCGACACTGAACATGTGCACGTCACTCACATACACTTTACTTAATCTACACACGATCTCACCTTAAATCTGAGTATTCGTATTTAATCCTAATAGGGAACGAAAAATGCAAACATCAAATGAAGCCAAACTTAGGAGTTTTATGAACTAAATAAATTGGACTTCAACTCTTTTGTCACTTATCTAGTAATTAAAGATATATATAAATTGGTTAGTGTTCGGTAACTTTATAAATTTTCGTTTTGTTTTTTGCAATTGTTTTTTTTTTTTTTCATAAAGGCGACTGCACGGCAATATGCCTTAAACTACCCAAAGCAGGCTAGGTAACTCCTTTGAAAAATCAAGTAGTTTACGTTCTCAGTTACATATGTATGCATTTTGGAAGCATATAAGTGTCGTTATGTATGTCTGGACTTACCCTAAATCTTTTGGGCGAACTAAAAATTGCTAAAAAGTATTATGTTTGGGGTTTTAAGGTTGAATGGAACACTTGTTTATGATAAAATGAGATTGTATTTAAATGTGATAGCTATATAAGTATGTATATGAAAAACTAACTGCCCTGCAAACCAAAGTTCCCGCAATCTTATCGAAATCTTAAGAAGTATCTTATTTCTGTTTCTGATTTTTTTACGAATCTTCAAAGAAAATTATATGAATTGGTTGTAATGAACTCCTAAAGAAATTTCTGTGCGAAAAATGAAGGAGGCTGTGAAAAAATTCTGCAAAAAATTCTTCACATAGTATCATTATTTTCATTGCTTTACCGATTTTCTTCGGAAATTTCGTAAAAGAATCGAAGCTGGCACAGTTTATTTAATTTTAGAAAATTCGAATGAGATCTTTACGAATTCCTTAAAATTTCTTTACAGTTCAGAATACTTTGAAAAAAATGGTCCGCAGGGTGCTCACACGTGAAAATGTATGCGTCTGCAAGATGCCTGCTAGAATTCAAATCAGACAGTTGCATTTGCAAAAGATGTAGTGAACATGAAAATTGATGACAGTGTTTGAAAAAAATATCTAAATATGATTAACAGTTAATCTACAACTAATCAAACTGCTACAGACAGTTAAAAAAGTAGTCAAATATTTTTAATATTTCATTATACTAATTTGCAAGCACCCACCGTGACAGTAGATTTGTTGCCTCTTCTGGGTCAACTTCTATGCCCAAATCTTTGAAGGCGTCGATTAGTTCCTCCAAGTCTACTTTACCTGTTTAATAAATAAGAATACATATTTCAACAAGAATAGGACATAAGCATCGACGAAAGTTACACACCATCTTTGTTTTTATCCAAGTGCGAAAACTGTAGTCGCAAATTCTTTTCATGTTCTCGTACATAGAAAACAAACTCGGCAAGCCCAACATCGCCACTTTGATTAATATCAGATTGCTCCAGAAATTTCTGGAAGTAAAGTTAATAAAGATAACAAAATTTAATAGAGCAAAGTATTAATTTGTTATAGGAAAGTTATCTAAAAAGCCAAACAATAGTTCTTTCGCCGATATGCATACATATTTCACAATCAGTATACTGAAACTATAGTTTCTGTTAAAAAACACACACACACTTATGCTGAGTTGTAACTTTAGGATAGTAGTTGGGCTGCGGAGGTATGTACATACCTCAGCGTAGACACTCGAAAGACCAAACTCTCGTAACGCTTCAGAAAGATCATGAATATCTATTCGACCATTTCCATCCCGATCAAGACGCTTGAACAGCTTCTCCAGCCTTTCCTCGTCTTCTTGTGGCAACTCGGTAGCTACTTGAGCATGGGCATTGCTACCGCTGGTAAGAAACTGTGGGAATGCTGCCGTTGCCGTATTATCATGACCTTTAGTTTGATGACTCGATGCGGTAGGACTCTGATGGTGTGATTCAGTGGTGTTTAGTACACTCTGGATGGGTATCAATTTTGGATGGTTATGACTGCCTACCGAGTGAGATGGATTCACCGCGCTCTGACTGCAGCTTGCTCCCGTATTTATAGATGCATTTGGCGTATATGATGGTGGCGAGGAATTTTGGGATTTTTGCGTTATACTATTTTGATCCTGGTTCTGGACTATATTGTTTGATACAATATTCTTTTCTTCGTCTTTATCCACCATTATAGTTACCAGTCCAGTAATGAAATTTGACTTTCTCTTATAAACTTAATGCAAGTCAACTTCTGATAGGTATCTTCCTTGCTAACGAAAATATATTTTGAAAAAATTTGTGTATTTAAAGTTTACAAATTGCATTATATTTATTTGAACTCACCTCGATTAATATGTATTAGCGTCGACTGCGCCGTCTGACAACCAATCCTTCTTAGTGCCAGTGGTTCCTCGTTGTTTGTGTATTCTAAAGTTAATTGATTATAAACAAAAGTCTGGGCATATGACGGTCATATTGGTGCTCTCAAAATGTGAATACACCGCATATGAATTCATGCTTATACGAAACAAGTCACTACCAATATTACAGTACCTTCCACATTCTTCGGATTACTCCATTAATATGTAGAGCTTTTGGTGGCAATTGCAGAAAGCCTTAATTTTTGGCACTAGCGCATATTTTTGTTACTAGAAATTATTTTGATAGTAACATTTACAGTTTTTGAAAAACAAAGCTACTTTTTTCCAATTCTTTACTTCATTATTATTGCCATTATTGAACGTGAGCTCATCAAGTGAAAACGCAGGAACGTAATTGGATAAATAAATTGCATGCGTGCATGTGAAATAGGGATGTTTCGAATGTCATATTTTCCGGAATGCGAATGTGCGAATGTTAGGAATAACATTAAAAAAGCTATAATCAACTTAACCTTGGAAGTACATTCTTAATTTTGTATATGTAAACAATGCACGTTGTCGGCTCGTAGATTCGGCGAAGAACGTACATTATAGAACATTATACAGAGTTTTAATCTAGTAGTCAAAAGTTCAAAAGGGGCATAGGTATTATGTTTCAAAAAAAAAGTAATTTTGCTGCCTTTTCTCCAATGAGGCGATTTCTTAGAGGCTCGTATATAAGGAACGCTGGCGGGTGGAGCGCTCAAATATTTGCGGGCCAGATCTGTCAACTTGTCGTATTTTAGTTTAGTTTTCCACCAATCACCGAGTTAAGCTCGTTTTTCTTTAAGATAGTCCTTCAATTGAGCTTTAATTTAACATTTTTTTATGTCTCCAGAATCATTCGAATAGCGAATGCGAATGTAAATATTCGCAACATCCCTGATGTGAAACTGCCGCGGTGAAAGCAATATTGTTTTTTTTTTCCTAGTCTTTGGCATATGTACATGTATAAACTCTACAAATAATTTATAACATACACATTAAGTTCCACATGTACTTAAAAACCCAAATTAATAAAATTTAAACCAAATAATTCCAAATACAACTGTGTATCGAATTCCAACTGATGCAGGTAAATTTTACGCTCACGATATATTTACACAAAAATGACAGCAGTATGTACATATGTATGTATGTATGTATATATAGGCGTGTTTCTTAACTTTTTACAGCTGATGACAGCAGATTGGCGAAGAGTAGAATTTTCCTCGCAGAGATCGAAAGAGGAAAAAAATAAAGAAACAAAAATTAGAAAATTTGCAATCACTGTATATACACACACACACACACATACATCTTCAAATGCATGTACAAATACTTACATTCTGCAATATTTCAATGTGTTTTGATAATGATGCACTCATTTTTTTATTATTAAAACGAATTAAAATAAACTTGTCAAATTTTACCTTTCGCGTTTTGAACAGCTGCTTCGTAAACATAAATATGACTGCAAGTTTCTGCTGGCAGAAATTTCGCCAGCAGAAATTTGCCCATCTCTCGTTTTTTACGCTCTCTTTATGGCTCTCTACTGCAAATTTTTTGTGTTAAGAAACGCTTTCCAGCAGAGTACAGTAAAAATTTTGAATAGTTTTTCGTTGTGAAACACAACTTATGCATGCATGTACCTACTTGGGGCTGAAATTGAAACTAGCAGCTGATTATTATACCTACGTTTTTTCGATAGCTTCTTGTTGCAACATCCGAGTGATGCCAGGCGCAAAATAATGAGCTAATTGTGAGTCAAAGCCATAGACGCGTTTTAACACCAACAACAATAATCCCAAAACGAATTTTTTAGTTCATTCGAAAGTTATTTGCAAAAAACAGAAAGTTCTGCGCAAAAATACTTCCGCCCCTCTTCCCGGGCAACCAGAGCTGTTAAATTTCCATTACGATTAGTAATCAGTAATTTTTTGCATAATTTTAATGATTATTTTAACTTTCTTACATAATTGCTTGATTTTTATAAATTATTTGATTGTTTTTAATTATTTGATTACCTGCAATTATTTTTAATTATTTTTCCAAATAGATAAGGTTGTGTTTGGCAGGCAAATTTTTATAAGTTAATATTAAATAACTGAAACCAAATTCACTGTACGAGTAAATCTTGTACTGTTGTTTACAAGTAAGATATGATTTCTTAAAGATATTGTTTTTGAAATTTGCGCTTTGCCTTACAAAAATTCATTGGGCTACAAAAGTGCATCCTTTAAATTTTTCTAAAAAATCTTATTAAGAAGTGTAGACTTTGTATGTAGTATAATGACGAAAGTACTGAATTTTCCTAAGTGTTACACCAAATTTGGAAGTCTGATGTACGTATAGTAAGCGGTTTTTATGTAGTATGGACATCATTTTTATAAAAATTTAACAAATAAAATAACAAAGCAACCAGGGCTGGTTTTTTATATATTTAATATATTATAAAATTGAAAACAAAAACTAAAAATAATTGAAAATAATCAGTCATTCATATTTATTACGTAATTAAAAAAATCAAAAATAATTGAAAATAATCAAATAACTACAAATATTAAACATGTAATTAAAAAAAAGTTGAAAATAATTGAAATTAATCAAATAATTATATTGATCTATTCAAATTTTAAAAAATTATTTTAAATAATCAAAAAGAACAAAATAATTATGTAACTAAAACTAATTAATTTTTTTTACAACGCTTTTATTGAAGTAATAATAATACCCATTGAAAAGGTGCAATTAATGATATTTAATCATTAATCGGTTACCCAAAAACATGCTTTAATTAATAATCATTATTTAACAGGTCTGCCGGCAACACAGGAAGGAGAATTATATCAAGGGTTATAATCCCTAAGCGCGGCCGAAGGCCTCCAACGCACAGGTTTCGGTTAAATCTTGTAAATTCTCTAAACAATAATGGTATAGTAGCAAATTAAGCATCAAACGAAAAAATGACATCAATTCAATGATATCAATTAGAAACCTCCAAACTTAAATTAAAAATTATTCGAGTTACATTTTCAAATTTTCAACGGAAAATTAGTTGTAAAACAAAATTAAAGATTACATACCATATGTGCAGAATTGAGTAAAAATCTTAATAAATTTTTGTCAGTGTGTCTGCGAAATTCCACCGATTGACCTCAACCCTGATATTAAAAAGGGAGCAGAATAACTTTAAAACGGAACCCATCACATTCGCTGAAGCAAAGTATGGGCTCGATTTCACGCGATTTTTTCCACAAAACCTACTTTTGCGCGTATACACCGAAAACCATTTGACCTTCTTTAATCACACCTAAAATTTTTGTCAACTTTCACTAGCTCACATACATACCTACGTAAAGCTGATGGCCATAGTATTCGACACAAATGCAGCTGTCTGGATGCCACCTGAGAATAAATGCCAGTTACGCACACATATGTATTAATTTGCTGTTTTGCAATACACGAAACTCAATAGATTTGGTTTCTGCGAATTCAATAACTAATTATATTATATCTGTATATTTATATTATTGGGAATTTTGCAAATTTGCTTAGCTCAAAAAGTGATGTTGCACTAATTTCACTCCGCTTGTATCACTATCGCACTCAATAGAATGGCTACCACACCTGCCAAAAAATATTTCGCTGCTGCAGCAATTGCACTTTTTTGCGGACCGATTTCCACGCAAAGGTTGCACACAGATTTGTCTTCCGATGAAACTGAATTCCTCCTGATTTTTCCAACCCTTTTGTTCTTAGTTATAACACACAATTTATGCCACTTTATTGTTTTTTTAATTTATTCACAAGTTCTTCGACAGAGAATGTGCAAAACGGTTAACACGTAGCTGTCATCGGTCTAAGAATAGTCACCACACTAAGCTGCCATATGTGAAATAAATTACATTAGTGAGGTGAAATTGGAGCGTTTTTAAATTGCTCCTGATTAAACCGAGTACTCTTACTTACATTATCACGGCAGCCGGTTCTACGTACCGCAATGACTCGGGGCTTTACCCGACCAAGGGCGATCTAACCCCGTTTAGGTCGGCGAAATCGATCAAAGGTTGCCCAATTATGGGGCTACATCTGCTCAGAGCTGGCATAGAGTCAAACTCAGGGCCAGAAATGTACACCTCCTGCATATGCCATAGACGATTACACGCAAACTTCACCTCGGTCAATTGCCATACGTAGGTGGGCGTAAGTTCCGCAGGGTTGTTATAGCTGCTTCAGGATGTATTTCGGACCGCCGTCCGAATTTTCCTGCTGAAGCGGCTGTCGTAGCCGATTAGCATGACAACCTTCGTCAGGTCGATCCCGGAAATCCCCGTATCATGAATCTCAATACGAAGATTCGCTATCTCAGAATTCTAAACATATTTTCAATATATTTTCAGCTGAGTTAGAGTGCTTTTCAAACAAATTTTGAAATCGGGCGTTCAACCAAATTCTGAAATAGATCGTCTTTGAAACGTCTTAAATTAAAAGCCATATTATTTAAAAGTAATTAAATTTTGGCGTTTAAGATTTTTACACAGCATTTCTCATGCACATTTATATTTCTTTCTTCATGGACATATATAACAATTTTAGTTTGAATTTCGAGTGCACCAATAAAAATTGTTAAAATGGAATGTTAGTTTCTCATAGTCATCTCTTACTCAATGTATTTGTTTTTCAATTGGTGAGACACTGGTCTTATTACACTGGATTCGTCAATTTTGGAAAGAAAAACATTTCCATCCTTTAATTTTAACATTTTGAAGAAACTTAAATTATTAAAATTAAAAAAATCGTAAAATATCAAAAATTACAGATTTACTTTACAGATATATTGTATTTGATGCCAACGTCTATTGTCTCAAACATGAACATTATATTTGGAAACATACCAAAGCTATTAAAAAAAAAAACAATTATGATTTTTTCGAGGGACAATGAAAAAATGAGTAATTTCGGTATTTTTCGCCTAAATAAATGTTTTAAGGGTAAATGCAAGAAGTATGGTTTAGCTTTTTTTTGCCGAGAGAAGAGAGTGGTACTAAAAAACCACTCGTGGGATTTGCTGATATAAGTTCTTTCAATTCGGTGCCCCGCTTCAGGCGATCTTTGTAGGGTGGCAGATTTTTATACGAGTCCCAAGGTAAAATAAAATGAACTGTTTCTACACAGATTCAATAGTACAGATGCATATTCCACAATCGGTATTACAGTAAGACTCTTACTAGAGAGGTATATAGAACTTTAGTGACATAAGGATCGTTGAATTCCTTAGCCCAGCGTTTAAGAAAAGCCAACACTCTGCAAGCAC